CGACCCAGCACCTAGCCAACGAAGTGAGAACTCCAGCACTGCAAGAAAGTTGGATACGCATCAAGATGCCCTTGTCTCGGACTGGATTCTGGAAGAACAGGAAGTTCTCCTGCCATTTGTGATTATACTTTGCATAGCTACAAGATACTTTTTGACTCCGTTGACTCGGTTGAGATTGAAAAATGCTACGCTTTTAATATTTTAATATGCTCCTTAATAGCTGGATTTAAACTCAGTTTATTTAATTTGTTTGTTATACTGTGATATATAATATGCATACTATATTGCATATAATATATCACACAGTATAATGTTATATATATTATATTTGATTTACTTTGGTTGATATACTCGAATAATATATTACTGAGATAGAAAGGCTCTTATAGAATTCACGCGACTTTCATACCGATGAAAGTCCATCAATAAAAACGTTTATGCACCTGGTATTTACTGCTTTCTTCGAGCTCCTAAAAAGTCGTTGTTTATAGTTAATATACTATTTATATATATTATTATACTATTATTAACCATTTTACGGGAGAACGATTACTGCTTTAACTAGTATATGGGTGTCAAAGTTATTCCGCTGGTAAAAAATAGCAAGTTGATAAAAATTATTTATACTTGCTATTTTTTATATATGTATACTCGTATGTACGCTTAACAATTTCTCACAGTGGTCCAGAAAGTTTGTGGTTTTCAAATTTCGCAGGCGATCCGAGGCCCAGGATGAATTCAGAGAAAACAACAAAGAAGCCTCAGCTTCTATACCCTTGATTTACTTTACATTTAAATATACATTTAAAAATATTTACTCTACATTTAAAAAATGTATCTGTTGTGTATACCGAGTAAGGACGCTGTATATAATATAGTATGAATATACATAAATAGTCGTCCGATTTTTATCAAATTGAAACCGAAATTATATATGTACTATCACAAAACTGGTGTATATCTACTGTTTAATGATTAAAAACAACGATACTACAATTTTATTATATACTACTATTGAAATAATTTTAGAAAGTTTTGAGCTTTAAAACTGGGAGACTTACTTGTGTAGAAACGGACAGTCGGACGGATGGACGGACATTCGGGCAGACGGACATACGGACAGATGGTGCAGACTTCTGACTGGAATCAACATACCCTCTGCTAAGGGTATACAAAGGCGGGAGGAGACTGAACAGGACCGGGAGCCGACACCCCCAGTTTGTGCTTCTGCTCAGCATATTTATCTATTCATGCCCAGAAAAAGCAATACGAAGGCCGGCTCCGGGAGCGGAGCAGCCTCCGGGGGTCAAGGAAGGGGATGGCCGGGCCAGGACAAACTTCAATGCAGCTAACGATGTAGGGACAACAACAGGAACAGAACTGCAGATGGAGTTGTATTGGAGATGGAGCTCCGATGCCCGCAATGGACTGCAGAGAAAGTTGATTCCGTGATTTTGGGGGGAAAAGTTAGCCGGGGCTCCGGTCCTGGCACTCCTCCTTCTGGTCCTTCTCGTCCTTCTGCGGCTGCATTTTGAGCTTTTATTATGCTTTTTGGGCGGCTCTCGCCCCGCGTGGGTTCAAAGTTGGAGCTGCGCCGGAGCTGACAGCTGGGGAGCGAAAATCGAGGAGAAGTGCAGACTTTTTAGTGTTTTACACAAAAGCGCCGGCATGGACACGAGCGAAAGGTCGAGGATCGGGGGCAGACTGGGATCGGGTTCCTGGGCGAATGGTTAGACGCTTGGCTGGCTACAAACAAACAGACAGACGGACAGACAGACGGGAGGAATCGAGTCCGGGAAGCGCTTGCAACATGCATTAGATTGGCAGTTGGGGATTTACTTGTAAAATGCAAATGCAATGAATGCACAATTTAGGGATTTTTACACCAAAACCTAGTGGACTCGATGGAACCGTCATTGCAGATGGCGGAGAAAACAGCACTTGCACTGCCATGTTCCTTCCTCAAACTGCTCCGCAGAAGGGAGTCCAAGTGGAGCGCATGAGGATGGGTCATGTATCCTGGGCGTCAGTCTGTTTTAAAGTTCATTTGAAATGCAAGCCGTTGTTTTGTCTGAATGACTCCTAATCTATGCTAATGAAACTGTTTTCGGTTTCGGCTTTTTAAAACGAATTTCACCCCAGCCAACTCGAAAAACTTTCCGCATAACAACAGAAATTACCGGAGGAGTAGCTACAAACAACAGCAGCGCAGGGTGCCAAGATAAATAAACAAAGTGTGTGTAGCTCAAATTGAAAAGCAAGTGAAACGTACTTGAAGATAGCGCGTTTCGTCCCATGCATTCAGATGGCTTTCTGAATAAAACTAGATATTGCATGTTGATTATTATACGTATAATGGGAGCGTTCAATATGCTCTACAGTTATATGCTCTCATCACAACTATACATTTCAACCGCACTTGCAACTTCATTGCTGGTTCAGGATAATGTGGCTGTAAGCGGTAAGTTCAATCAGCCAAGTCAATCAAATTATTGAGTTAAATTTGACTTGGAATACTGTGAAATTCGGATTTGGTGTGGCAAACAAGTATTCAAATTAGTTTCTTTATCGGCGGGGATTCCAAGCATAACTAGCAAATAATTAAAACCTTCTTTTAACACAGCTCTTCCTAATCGGAATTCCCCAATAAATTCCTCCACCAGCCGATCATCGACAATCCTTGTATTCGCTTACCAAAATGCCGAAACACATTTCCACGTAGAAGGACTTAGTGCACACTTTTATTGCAACCGCAACAAGCTTACATGCCATTCATCCCACAAAGCGAACTTGCCACAGTGGCAATAAACTCCGGCTGCTGTTGCAAGTTGCAGTTGCAACGACCAACTGAATTGCACATGCATATGAACATAACGGCACACTTCCCTGCATTTGTGAGTGTGTTTATTGGGGAATTCATCAAAATCGCCAAGGCAACACAATTTCCATCGGATATTTGGCAAAAGTTGTTACTTCTCCGCCCACAATAAACGAGGATGCATTGCTGCCGACACTGCGAGAAAATCAGCTTCATCTTAACACATAAATATAAATACATATGTAAAAATGTATGTTTGCTTTTCTGGGAGTTTTATCCTATATAGAATAATTCATGTTACTTGTTATGCAACGAAGTTGACACAAAAGTAGAGTATGACAATGAAGTAGGAAAAGTGCGTTAGAATCGGTAAGCAAAATCTTTCTCGGTGTTCGTACTAGGTAGTCTTTAAGATGAAATCTTAAACAGAATTTGGGAAAAGATTTTTTAAAATGTTAATGCAATTATCTCGAGCTAATTCTGAAATCTTCGCGATGTTGCCCACTATTCGATTATCGGAAAGTTTCGAATTCTAAGCAATCGAGTGCATCCTTAACCCTTGGCTGGTCAGGCAGCCACTTGTCGCCCCTGCCACGCCCCCGAAGGTCCTGCAGGACGCGCCTCGCATGCGGCGTTGTTGATTACATTGTAGTGGGTGTCGTGGTTGTTGCAGCTGGGGGCCGCGTTGTCTGCGGCATTATTACAACTCTTATTGTCCTCGGTGTCTGCCAGCTGCTGGCCGCAAAATAAGGAATTCGGAAAAGTTTCCCAAAAAACGTCTGCGACTTGACGGTGACGGCGACGGCGACGACTTCCGCTGCAACTTGCCATGTGTCTGGTGTTGATGCTTTTATTTATGTGCCACCACAACCGAACGTAGGCCGGCGAGGCGTCGGTGGAGCGTCAATAGTTGTACTTCAGCCCGCCAGGATGCGGAAGGATGCGCTGAACACGGATTCCTGCTTCCAACTTAAATATTGCGCCCCAGGCGCCTCGACTTTTGAGAGGCAGCTCGCAACTTCTACGACTTCGCCTGCCGCATCGTAGCATTACAGTGATTACGCCCAGTAAGACTTACGGTTTTATTGTAACCTGCCGCGTCCTCCATCCTCGGAATGTTTCCACACTCCTCAAAAATCTAGGTTCTGGCTGGACTGCTGTGTGACAGCTTTCTACTTTTATTCTAACCATAAATGATTATAGTATAATTTGTAGTTAGCCAAGTGAAAGGGAAATAAAATAAAACAAATAAAATAAAAATTTAACAAATTTCAAAATGATCTAATTTGAATATTTAGGGTTAAAATATTATAATGAGAAAGGTTATGATTCTTGGCTAGTCTGGGGAACAAGTGCAATTATTATGTATCAAGAATATTACTAGGAAATGTGTGGAATGATACCTAACTGTGGGTAGTAAGCGTAACTGAGGTAGTAGTAACTGAGGTAAGTAATACAAAGTTTGCAGAAGTGCCAAAAAATATATATTAGCAAAAAACAGCAAATCCATAGACTGATTTCGAATAATTGTAGAGAATCGACAGTTTCAAAGTCCCTGTTCAGCATTGCCAAAAGGCAGACCGTTTTGCTAAGTGTAAGTAGTTAAAGCGGGCATGTGAGCCTCGAGCTCTGTGAATTGTCAATCCGGAAACTTCTGGGAAAACTTCAAAAGCGCAGCCCCACACGGACACATACTCGACTGGGACAGAACCCCGGTGCTGGCACCATCCTAACAACCACCTGCATTACCAAATCAAGCAGGGCACGTAATGAATCAGTCACAGCGATTAACTTTTACAGCTGCAGCGGGCCAACAAATTGCAAGCGACGTTGTCGCAGGGTCAACCTGCCAGGTCACAGTAGTCCCCGAGGGTGAGTGGCATGGCCTTTGATCCTCCGAAAACCGAGAAAACTTCAAAATACGAAACACTTCCAATTTCCGGCATCAGCTGACAGAAAAAGAATCAGCCCGTTGAAAGAAGTAAGGTTGTCCAATCACAAGGCCGCACGAAAGAATTTGGAAATTGAATTTCACTTTGATCACTTCTGACTAAAGCTATATCTTTTCATTTTTATTTCATTCGTAGTGGGTGATAGGTTCTGTAATCAAATCATTTGTTACATCACAGCAAAACTAAGCTAATACAGTGGAGGAGCGCACGAGCTACTGAGGAACACTGGATTGTTTTGTTAAATGGTTTCATTTATTAGTAAAAATATAATTGTATTTGATTTGTATATTTAAGTATATTGTTTGTATAATTTTAATTAACAAATATTGCAGCAAATTTCATCTACTAAATTATGGATTACGTTGCGTATGCTTCATACGGTTTTACGGATTCTGTTGTTCAGCCGACGACGCTTCGTTGTTTGCGTGAGAGTTTCCATCCGGTCTTTTTCTAACCCTGTGTGAGTGTGGCTGGCTTACAACTAACGGAAAATTTTAACAACGAGTTACAGCAACGAAACGCCTAACCCACGGACCTACAAAAAAGTACGTATCTACGTTCATGCGCTGAGTATGTGGAGTACGGATCACGCCTCTCGTAGTCGGCTAACTGCTAGCGCGTTACATGAGGCGACAGCCTTCCCGCTCGCGGCCGTTCTGCGACGGCAGCTGGCGCTGGGTGGGCGTTGATTGGGAGGAGGAACCGCTAGCCACCGCTGCGTTCCCGTTGGACTCTACACTTGCGTGCCGCGTGAGCCGCTGGTGATTCGGGTTAAGATCCGCCACGGTCCATTGGTTTCCGTTTGCCTGCTGCGAACTTGGCACGAATTCGCCCTCTTCGTTCTGCAGTCCCTGCAGTCCTGTGGCAACGTCCACGCTCTGCTCGGTGCCCGGGCTGGCATCTTGGAGCGGCGAGCAGGTGACGTCCCCCAAAGACTGTATGTACTGTTCCAGCAGGTAGACATGCGGCTGCAAGGTGAGAACAAACCCTCGGTACAAAGATCCGCTGTGTTCAAAGGTGCTCTGACTTAATTGCTTGAGCGCAGATTCCGTGCGCTGACAGATGTGAACCGATTCGCTCCGGATAATGCCGTTGACAATCCGCGAGATGGACGCGGCGTCCTGGAGCAAAATCGAAAGCACCAACGCATAGTCCGTGCAGTTCGCCTCGATGAACAGCTGCAACAAGTAACGCAGCTTGATGGACAGTTTCTGAGGCAGCATGTCCACGGCTAGGTCGTCTTCTGATGCCGGAAGCGAGTACAGCCGGCGGTAGCGAAAGTTGTCGAACGACAGTTGCGATCCAGACCGCGTCTTAAGTATTGGTAGGGAGCTGGGCTGCTGCAGTTCTTCCTCTTCTTCCCTAATGCTTGGCTGCAGCTGAGGCGACTGTGTTGCGGCTCCATTGGGCGTGGCCAAGCTGAAATAGCCAGATTCCGACGTCTGCGAGGATCCACCACCTCCTGTCTGTCGAAGACTTCCGCGTAACTGAGCAAAGTCGTCCTTCACCGGAGTCGGAAATGGAGTGGGGAGCTCTAGTTCTTCGTGTAGCACCTGCAGAGCACCAGCGAAATCATCCAGCTTGGCTGCCCGCTCCGATTCCTGTGAAAGCCAGCTGACAAGGTGAAAGTCCAGATAGGCGCACATGTAGCCCAGATCCATTAGTTTGTGGTTCTGAAGTAGTTGTCGAGCATGGCGCTGCAGTATCAGATCGATGCAAAACGTCTCTCGCTGCTTAGTCGACCGCCGACGCACCACCGAGGGTGCTCCTGAGCTGCTGCTTTCGGTCACAGGTGCAACTCCTGGAGTCGCAGATGCCTGCTTATCTTTGGGCAGATTGCTAGTCACGGTGGTGGAGAAACTTCTCTCCCTGGCAATGGGGCCCAGAACCATGTTAAAGGCATCCGCATTTTGATTCACTTGTTGCTGTGTATTCACCTGGGGAGGCGGAGCAATTTTCACATTCACCACCATCGACGACCGCGGCGAGTCGATCTCATTGGGATCTATAGCCTTTAAGAACCGGATCAAATCCTTGGCCAGCTCCCACTTTCGCTGCTGCAGAGCAATGTCCAGCAGCATGGTGGCATATTGTTTGCTAACAACCGAGGGTTCCAGATTCTGAAGAATTATCAAGTAGCTCGCAGCCGTGTCTAGCTGTTCCGACTGCAAACACATCTGGAATAAGTCCTTCGGCTTGCCAGCCATCGAAAATAGGTACGGCCACAGGGCGATCTCCGTTTTGCGGGCACATTGAACAATTGTTTCCAAGTAGACAGGGAACTCCCTTATAAAGTCCAGAATACTGGGCAGCTGTGCATCCGGAATGGGCTGTTTGCTGGTTGCCTCTTCCTCAAGAACCTCGTGTAGGAGCAGTTCCAGGGCATGCGGGAAATATGGCAGCGAGCAACACGACTGTGCCATTTCCCAGGCGGAGTATCCCAGGTTGCGCTTGATCAGCTGGCGAAGCACCTTGTGCAGATAGATCTGCGACTTGCGTTCCATCACGGCGAACGGCAGAGAGAAGTGGGAGCCCTGCTCATTGACGTAAAGCGTGCTTTCGTTCTCAACCCCCAGTACGATCACATTGTCAAAGAGCACGACCAGTGGATAAAGCTTCAGCGGAAAGCTCAGCATGATTCGCTTTGACATAAAACTGTGCAAACGTTGAGCGCCGCCCTGCTCTCCTTCGCGACGCTCCCTTCCCGGCGGCAGAATTGGAAGCCATACACGCATTCCGTGGGCCCCCGAGTATAGCCAAAGGCAGTCCCGCATCGCACAGCGTTCCAGGGAGTGTGACAGCCAGAAGACCTCAACGCAGCTGGCCAGGCACGTGGCCAGCAAGGTGTTTGGGACCTATTTGGTAAAAATCGGCATTAGTTCCTTCATGATATCGCAATAACTTAAAACACCGCGAAGTTGAAGAGATGCGCATGTAAATTCCTTGTAACAGTTGCTTCGATAACTAAAGAGATTTCAAAATAGAAAACATGCTGCAGTTGCTGCATTGAGGTAACCTTAAATCCTAACCCTTCTTGTAGGCAACGTTACACGGATTAGATGTCTAAATGATTTCTATCTCTCCAACTTTTAACAATTCAACAAACATACCTGTTCGCCGGCATCGCGCTGTATCATCAATATGCGGCCACATACATTCACGATGATAGTCTCTGCCTGATCTCCACCCAGCTGTCCCTGGGGTTTTAGCTCATTCTTAAGATTAGTCACGGTCAGACTAACAATGCAGGCAGGGTGGATGCAAATGCTCTTCACGTCCAATTCATAGGCGCACTCAATATCCAGAGCGTAGGCGGAGTTCTTCGACATATTAAACAGGCTGACTATTCCATCGGCAGTGAGTACAATCAACTGGTGTCGGAATGAGTTCAGGCTAATGACTGGGGCTCGCACCTGCAGCTTGTGTCCGTATTGATTGTCTAGCTTGCAATCTGCCGGATAGCAACGCAACTCATCCGTGCGGTCCAGAAGCGAGTAGCAGCCCATGACTACAAAACCGTGCCACCAGAGCAGGCCGCCGGAAACAACGAAGTCCTTCTCCTGCGACTCATTGCCAAAAAGCTTCCATCGCCGAGTCACTAGGGAATAGTGCGCCAGTCCAGTGCGACCAGCCACCGCCAAGTGGAGTCCGTCGGGATCGATAGCAGCATATCGGATTGGCCAGTTGGTGGCCGCGTAGTTGAGCGGCAGCTGCAATACTGTCCAATACTTACTCTCCGTAAGAATGCTGCCTGTGTGGGGGCTTTGTTTTAACTCCAGGCAGTCGCCATCGCCGGAAATGCCTTCATCAGAGCCCACGCCGCTCGATGGAAACGTTCCATGGCTTCCGGCATAAGTCAGCTCCAGATTGTTGCCCTGGTTGAGATACAGGCAGTCGTCACCCTGCAGCAGGATGTGCGGACTCGTCGTCATGCAGGGATTCATACTCAGAGCGCTCTTCACAAACTGCAGCTGAAGGACATTGCTTTTGTCTTTTTCCGGATGCTGTTTTAGCATGAAAAGCTGATAGCCCTCGGTTGACCATTCGAGTCGACGGAGCTTGAGTGGATTTTCGCGAACTAAATCTACGTTAAGGCCGAAATCCCAGCTCAGAGTAGACATTAGCAATGCTCCGAATGTGCTCCATAGAGACAGGCCGCCATTTTTCCAACTCACGGCGAGGACGCAGCCGTCAGGGCTCCACTTCAGCTCGTTTACCGAACCTAGGCTGCCTGGGAGTACATTTTCTGTGAGCATAAGGCGATGCGAAAACTCTAATCCCCCGCTGGCGTCATCAATTGCGTACACATTCACAGCCGAGCTCTCTTGACCATAGGCCAACAGTCGGAATTTGTGATTGACACTGCAGACACTCGCATCCTCCACATCCGGCACCCAGAAGCCGTGCATGTGATCGGTCTCAAATCTCAGATGGTTGGCAATCAGGAAGGCGGCACGTCGGTCGCTGAAGACGGCTGCACAGCCACCGATGAACGGCGAATATTCCAGCGAGGCTACGTACGAGTCCCTGCTCAGGGGCGGCACATTCCGGGCGGACGACTGCTGTGGCTGCTGCTGCACGTAGAAGGGAATGTCGCGCAGCTTAATTGCAGATAGAGCTGGCAGTTCTAGGTCGTTCTCTGCGTGTTCTAGTTCCGTCCATTGCAGACGCAGCAGCTCGCAAGACTGGGTGGCCAAGAGCAATTCGCTGAGGCTAATGCAGCACACAGTGGTGATGACGGAGCCCAAGGTGACGCTGCACAGTTCGCGTAAGCTCAGCCGGGGTATGTTCTCCTTGATGAACAGCTCTGCGGATTCGCGTTTGAGGCTCGCGGCAGGCGGATCTACCTGCTGGAGTATTCCACTGCCGTTGGCATCGAAGTCCAGTTGGTACAACAGCAGGGCACCGGACGCGGTAAGTAGGGCAAGCTGCCGAGAGTCCGGCTTCCATACGATCAGCTGGTTGGCCCCGTACTGGCGAAGGGAGTCCTCCGTCCGCCGGAAGAAGGCGATGGGAATGAGCGGATTCGCGTACCAGATGCCCAGGAAGCCGTCGCCCACAGCGGCTACGAGTATTTTGACTGCGTCGCAGCAGATGTGCCGGATGCTGGCGCTTTCGCCGGGCAGCGCCAGGCCCACCCGCTTGGGCCAGCCCACTGGATAGTACATCCTCCGAGTGAAAAGTTACTGCGCAAACGGAAAAGTGCATTAGCAAGAGCAGGAGTGCGGAAAAAGGATTCAACCTGCGGACGGGTGCGGGTGCATTTAGCTTTTGTGGGTTACGCCCAGTTTTACATGATCTCCCTCGCCTAATTATCACTTTTATAAAACATTCCACAGCACAACAAAAATCTGCGCGATTTTACGCGTATACAAAAGAGAGTGTTGGCCAGCGTCCAGAAATCACAGCTGTTTGCCAATCGCCGTTTTGCACCACTGATTTTGTGCAAGCAGCAGTGATGTCGCGCTAGCTTTATTCGGCTGTCAGCTGTTTTATAAAAGCTAGCCGAGACTTAATTCGTTTTTTATAAATTTGGGGTTTATCTAAGAAGTATTATAAACATACATAAGGTATATGTATGACTATGTATAAACTCTTTATTAAACATTAATTTATCAGATAATTCAATTTATTTAAAAAACTACAGCTCTAAAAGTTCCGACTACCGAGCTCTCGAGCTGGTTCACTCCGAACCACTTTCAACTAATTTCAACGCATCTCGAACTAAATAAATCAACCGGCTTTCGAAGGGCAGATCAAAAGGAGATTTTTGAAGTATTCTCAAAATGACTGCATTTGAAGGTAAGTGAAAATCAATATTTAAGATGTTAATGGCTTATTTGTATTGCCTCACAGAGTTTGGTGTGCTGCCGGAGCTGGGAAAGGCCACTGACGAATTGGACTGGACGTAAGAAAAATACCCTCTTGTTCGCCAAATCAAATACACATTTATTTGCAGTCTGCCCACCGACGTCCAGGCTGAGGCCATTCCGCTGATCTTGGGAGGTGGCGATGTTCTGATGGCCGCCGAAACTGGTTCCGGAAAAACTGGTGCCTTCTGCCTGCCCATTCTGCAAATCGTGTGGGAGACCTTGCGGGATCTGGAAGAGGGAAAGGCTGGAAAGGGCGGTGCCATTGGAGGAGCTGTGGCGCCGTGGACCATGTCCTTCTTCGACCGAGGAAACGCGCTTGCCGTTACTCCTGATGGCCTGCGTTGCCAGTCGCGGGAGTTCAAGGAGTGGCACGGATGTCGGGCCACATCTGGCGTTCGCGGAAAGGGGAAGTTCTACTTTGAGGCCACAGTAACGGACGAGGGACTGTGTCGTGTGGGTTGGTCTACGCAGCAGGCAAATCTCGATCTGGGCACCTGCCGCATGGGCTTTGGATTCGGCGGCACCGGAAAAAAGTCCAACAACCGCCAATTTGACGACTACGGTGAGGCATTTGGCAAAGCAGATGTCATCGGCTGCCTGCTCGATTTGCAACGGCAGGAGGTGAGCTTCTCCAAGAATGGGCAGAACCTGGGCGTTGCCTTCCGCCTGCCGGATAACCTTGCCAAGGAGACCTTCTACCCGGCGGTGGTGCTTAAGAACGCAGAAATGCAGTTCAACTTTGGAAAGACTGACTTTAAGTATGCTCCGGGTAACGGGTTCGTGGGCGTTTGCCAGGCTGGTCCCGAGCATTGCAAGGCCAATCCGCTGGCCAGTCCCGCAGCTGGAGCAGCGTCCGCCAAGCCGGCGCCCAACGCCCCGCAGGCCATCATCATCGAGCCCAGCAGAGAATTGGCCGAGCAAACCTACAACCAGATCGAGAAGTTCAAATACCACCTGAGCAACACAGAGGTTCGCTCCCTGCTGCTTATCGGTGGAGTGAGGTTGGAGGAGCAAAAGGCGCAGCTAATGCAGGGCACTCACATAGTGGTGGGCACGCCCGGGCGGCTGGAGGAGATGATCAACAGTGGCCTGGTCCTGCTCACCCACTGCCGCTTTTTCGTTCTGGATGAGGCAGACGCACTTCTCAAGCAGGGTTACACCGACTTGATTGACCGTCTGCACAAACAAATACCCAAGATCACCACGGATGGTCGCCGTCTGCAGATGATTGTTTGCTCAGCCACGCTGCACGCATTTGAGGTAAAGAAGATGGCTGAGCGCCTGATGCACTTCCCCACCTGGGTGGACCTGAAGGGGGAGGATGCTGTGCCTGAGACGGTTCACCACGTCGTCTGTCTGGTCGATCCGCAGGTGGACACCAGCTGGCACTCGCTGCGCCAACACATTGGCACCGACGGTGTCCACGACCGAGACAACGTTCATCCAGGCAATCATTCCGAGGAGACGCTGTCGCAGGGAGTCAAGCTGCTTAAGGCCGAATACTGTGTGCACGCTATAGAGAAACACAATATGGATCGGGCCATCATCTTCTGCCGTACCAAGCAAGACTGCGACAACTTGGAGAGATATCTCCGCCAGCGAGGCGGAGAACGCTACTCGTGCGTCTGCCTTCATGGTGACCGAAAACCACAGGAGCGTAAACAAAACCTGGAAATGTTTAAGCGGCAACAGGTCAAGTTCCTGATTTGCACGGACGTAGCGGCTCGCGGTCTAGACATTACTGGGCTGCCGTTCAGTGAGTTCTCTTATTTTGAAACACAATATGTTCATCACAAACATCTTTGAACCAATTTCTTATTTATCCTCAATTTACTTTCTTATCCTCAGTGATTAATGTGACGCTGCCCGATGACAAGACCAATTACGTGCATCGCATTGGTCGTGTGGGAAGAGCGGAGCGCATGGGGTTGGCCATCAGTTTGGTGGCCACAGTGCCGGAGAAGGTTTGGTACCACGGAGAGTGGTGCAAGTCGCGCGGCCGCAATTGCAACAACACAAACCTAACCGACGTCCGAGGTTGCTGCATCTGGTACAACGAACCAAACCTACTGGCTGAAGTTGAGGACCACTTAAACATCACCATCCAGCAGGTGGACAAGGCCATGGAGGTGCCAGTCAATGACTTCGACGGCAAGGTTGTGTACGGTCAAAAGAATTTCAACACTGGCAGCAGCTACGAGGACCACGTCGAGCAGCTGGTGCCAACTGTACGCAAGCTGACGGACCTGGAGTTGCAATCACAATCTTTATTCCTAAAACGTCTTAAGGTCTAAAGCGGATCTGGAGCGACATTTGTTTGCTAGGCAAGGACTGCATGACCAACTCACGCGGAAATACTTTTGCGGCACTGACACACACAAATTTGTATATGTAGGAAATCGGAGATCGAGCTCCGCCAATAAGAATAAACATTCAATTAAACTAACATTAAAATCTTCTGTCTAAAGAGTAAACAGCCTCGGTTGGAAGCCGGAGTCTAGTCACCATCACTCCTCTTCTTCCTCGTCCTCCTCGTTCAGCTCGGTTCGCATCTGTTGCAGCGCCCTGAGCTGCTGGCACAGCTGGTTGCCGAACGACTCGACGTAGCGGGGGCTGATCTTGTCGAGCAGCGCGTACGGCGTTTCGAATATCTCCTCCTCCTCCTCCTCCTCGTTGTCGTGGCCCTGCCCCTGTCCGTTGCGAAGCAGTGCGGAGATCCGGCTTTCCTCGTCTATGGTGTCGTACTGGGAGGAGACTATCTTGAAGCCACGACTGGTCACCTGAACGCAGCATGTGGCGCTCTCGATGGTCCGGATGTTTAGGTAAATTTGCGTGGCGTCGCTCGCTAGTTTTGAGGAGATGCAGATTTCAGCGACGTGCGCCTTCACATCGTTGATGATGGCGTTGGCTTCGTCCTCGCAGTTGAAGGCCTGCTCCTCCCCAGGCTCCGCGGTGGCTTTCGGTTCGCCCATCCTAGAAGAATCGCTTCGGAGCCCTTCGGCCCTTTTAATTGAATCCCAGTCGATTTGGTTCCCGTTTACAGGCGCAACATGTTTTTTTACTCTACTCCATGTGTCACAGCAGCTGTCTGGCGTCTGCCACGCGTTAGTAAATTTCACCCGGTGGAGCGGAGCAGGGCGTTCGGGCCTTCGTATACCCTGGGAAATCGCCAAACTATTACATTTTATGGTCCGTTTTACATGCAATGTGGGCCAGTTTTTAGTTTAAAAAGGCCTTGTTAGTGAGCATAATTTAAGTTTGTTCTGTACAATATTGAAATGCAGCCATGAAGTCAAATTTCGCAAGATATAAATACCGGTAAAAAACGGTTGCTGTCATCTGAATGTAAAAATTACTCCTAAAACAGTTTCAAACGCAGTGTTGCATACTTTTGGGGATGCTCTCCGAGTAACGATATTTCTTACAGTGACTGTCGCAATATTGATAGATAGATGGCGTGTTGGAGCCAGAAAACCAGGTATACACGTCACAATTTTGATAGAAATCATCGATGTCGGCATCGATGTATCGATTTACCATAAGAGAAAAAATCGGCTCAGTTCCAGCTCTAATTTCGTTGCGAAAAAAATAAGAATCGAGGCATCGGCACGGACGTCTGAAACTGCAATTCGAAGAATATACGGACAAATTGTGGTTCTTGGCAGGCGTGTGACAGCGATCGCTAGTGCAAATTACCCGTTCGCAGGCAAAGTGACACAGGCAGAGGCATCAGGATGAGCGCACCTGGCATGGACAAGAGAAAACTCTCGTAAGTATTTCGCAGTGCTCCTTTAGTTTTCCCACACGCCGCACACACACACACCCGTCGACAGAGTACACACACTCAGCCCGTGCGCGGGTGTGAGTAGCAGCTGCGCGCAGGCAGCGCCGTCGGCGCGAAATTGATTTTTCGCGGCAGAAGTTTTCTCGAGCTAGCAGGCATTTTCCCTTACAGCGTCGGGATAAACAAGGAACAGGGTCAGGGGAAGCATTAGGCTGGGGCAGAGCGAAGGGGAGGGCAGCTGCGGCTGGAGTACGTTTTCGGACAAGCGATTTCGTCCTGGGCAAGGCCAAGGACAAAGTTGGCAATCTGACGGAAGTGGATTTCTATCTGATTTTAATAATCGTTAGTCATTGTTTTAATTTGTGTTGTAATATGCAGAAGAATGTAACAGGTTGAAAAAGCGTTACGCACATCATCGATCAAAATTCGAGTCGATATCATTAAAATATGTGCTATGTAATACATATGGACATTCCATTATTAGAATTACACATTATGATTATCTTTGACATTCCCCTTGCCTTCTTTTTATTTGGCCACGCCTCTATTGCCCGCAAATCGGAAATGTTTCCAACAGAGAAAAAACTTCAAATCCTTTAATTTGTAAATATTGTTTTATTCAGATTGTTTCATGTTTAGCTCTCCGTGCAACACATACCTTTTAGCCATAGGTGCGCGATAACAACCGACCTGCGGATCCAATAACTCGACAACCGACTAACTAGCCAACCTGGCCGTTATCGGACATGGGGTTTTACTGCCGCGTTAGCCCGCTATCGAATTCTGCCTTTTATGAGTAATGCCAGAACTAACCGCTTTAGTTTGGCCCAGGCAATTTCGAGTTGGCTTAGATCGTCGTGACGCCTGCCAACGTCCTTGGCCCCGTGCAGCCACCCACCGCCCAATGACCATGGGGCTCGCATCCGCTTGAGCCCGTAATCACCCTCATCATCGTGGTCCTCAACAACTTTGTCGAGCGCTCGCCGTCTTATCTGCTCGCAGATTCTCAGAGCGGGTTTAAGCATACACAGCCTTTCCTCCCCTGAACTTGCCAAGCTTATAAATAGCACCCACCTGCCCAAGAAAATCCATACAGTTTGCATGGGAGAGGTGCAATTTATGTTGCACGCGACCCTGCTGCAGAGCCACCAATGCCAGTTGCTTTCGAACTGGACGCCAGCGATGCCAACGCCTAGTCCGCGGGGTCAGGCAAGCCCTGAGGGCCAAGGGCTCCCCTGGAAGAGCTCCCATCGCGTGCCAGGTCTAACTGTTGCTGCGGTGACTCATAGTCCACCGGTACTTGCGCTGGCTGAGCTTTATCGCCCTCTGTCAGAATGTGACATTCGCTGCTGAAGGAATGTCGGAGGCACAGTGCAACTCCGTTAACCAACTCCACGAAGTGTTTTCCGAGGTCTTACCTGAGTGTGATCATCAACCGTTAATACCAAATGCTGAGAAGTGGATAATCCTATGCAATGCAGAGACCATATTCAGTTTTTTTTCCTTTATTTAGGACATCTGGCGACTCGCTTTACGAGATCCTTGGACTTCCGAAGACAGCCACCGGAGATGATATTAAAAAGACTTACCGAAAACTCGCACTCAAATACCATCCCGACAAGAACCCGGACAACGTCGATGCGGCTGATAAGGTAAAGTTTTGCCGAAAAATGGGTCCATGCGTCACTACTAAACGTCATATATCTGCAGTTCAAGGAAGTAAACCGGGCCCACTCGATACTGAGCGACCAGACGAAGCGCAACATATACGACAACTACGGCTCTTTGGGCTTGTACATAGCCGAGCAGTTTGGCGAAGAGAATGTCAACGCATACTTCGTGGTCACGTCCCCGGCTGTAAAGGTCAGGAATCGGGGTACTTCGCATAGCTAGGAACATTAAGTAATCTCTGATTTTCCTTGCAGGCGGTGGTTATCTGCTGTGCTGTGATTACTGGATGCTGTTGTTGCTGCTGCTGCTGCTGCTGTTGCAACTTCTGCTGCGGCAAGTTCAAGCCGCCGGTCAACGAGTCGCACGACCAGTATTCACATTTGAATGTGAGTGAAGTTTAAATCGGCTCTGCCAAGTCCAAGTATAAAACCCGCCCCAACCCAGCCCGCCAATAACTAAAATCATTTTGATTTAGTTAAGAAAAGAGAAAACAAGAAAATCAATCCGGCGCAAAGCTAAAAAATAACTTTAATGCATGCTTGCCATCTTCCCACACACTGTACTATTACCAACCTCACTCCAAACCAACTTTGATGATTTTTGTGGGGAAATCGTATCATTGTTCCTTTTGAGAAGCTAATGTTTAGTCAAAAACGTGCCCCTACATCTGACATCAACGCTTGCTTAACAGCTACCCGATCAATAAACGCCTAACCACTTTTTAGTATAATTTTCCTGGTTTATCGGCTTTTTGGCACACCATCTCCCTCGATTGATTTTTCCTTACACCCGTACAAACACTACTCTGTTTGCAATGCTTTGTAATTAGTTTTTTTTGGGGTAAGTATGAAGTTTGGTTTTGGTTTTTTGTTATCAATTCTCCAGACACTGCAGTAATCAGAATACTGATATTGAAACCAGAGGTAAACACGACTAACCCCAAAACTTTTCCGATCCATTCGAATTATATTTGTATTATCTGTTGTTAGTTTTTGTTTTGTAATTGTGTACTTCACGAAAATCATCAAATGCTTCCAACTTTTCTCTCCACGAAAAAAATAATAAATAACGTCACACTTACATGCTCGAACTTCTCGAGACAGATTCTGCGAAACGGCATTTCCAGACAAATGTTCAACGATTTTTGTTTTACCCACGATTGCTTTTCTTGTTTTTTTAAGTGTCCCATTGCGCATACACATTTAGTTTGCACTCACATTAGAAGTCTTCTTCCTTTGTTAGTTTGCAAGCTAAGGAAGAGAAGCTATAGACTTACGTTCTATTTTTGTTTAACTTTTTTTTTCTCAAAACTCTTTGCGATCGACTCATCATATCCACCACCTACTACCACCCACAACCACCACACATTCGCTCTCGACCTCGCCGTCAGCGCCCCGATGGCAATCGAGAGGGCAACGATATGCCACCGCATCTGGGACAGCCGCCACGCCTCGTAAGTATGCGAATCGAAAATAATACCAGCACGAGTACCGTATGAAATAGGTGCAAGATCACCTGCGGCCTGCCTACCGCCGCCACCTGGCACAGGGCACCCACCCACCAACTAACTAACACAAGCCAGTAACCAAATCCGAACTCTATTTAAACGGTGACCAATCGAAATTTATATGTTCCACGGGAACACGTCTTACTAACATTCAGTCGCAAAATTAACTTGGTCAAGAGAACACAGGAAGAGATGACAGAAAAAAACGGCGTTTTTTGAAAGTACTGCTCTAAATGCTTGGTAAATGTTTTATGATTTTCTTTCACTGCTGTCGTCTGGCTGATTTTGATTTTGTAGTATTTGGCTTGAAGTGTCCTATCCATAAGCACAACTGTAATGTAGTGGTCGTAGCTCAGCTGTAGAATAGTGGACATGGCTTGTAGGCAGCTAACACACCGAAAGTTTTTGGCTAAACATTGCTTAGGGGACCATCCCTCCAAGCTTTCAAAACTCGCTGCAGAAACCTAAGTACCGCCAGAAATCCTAATCCCACTTTTTGTGTTCTGCAGGAGGACGTTGATCTCGACGACGTAAACTTGGGCGCGGGCGGAGCCCCCGTGACCTCACAGCCGCGCGAACAGGCCGGAGGACAGCCTGTTTTCGCCATGCCCCCGCCTAGCGGAGCCGTGGGAGTAAACCCCTTTACAGGCGCTCCTGTAGCAGCAAATGAGAATACATCGCTAAACACCACGGAGCAGACCACTTACACGCCAGGTATATAAACAGTAGGTCCAGAAGTGAGCCTCAAGAGCAGCCTCCGCCAGGCTGGCAATCCGACAAAGCGTCTTTGACCATCGAACTTGTTATTGTGCATATATTGAACCAAAATTGTAATCTTCAGTCGCTGGATTAATGGCGCAGGCACTCAGTCACCAATCGACACAGCCCGTCCAGCGATCAGATCAACACCTTCTTAGCAGTAAGCTCGTGTATCAGGCAATGTATTCCTTAGACACTTTCTGTACATGTAAGGTCTCACACATACGTCTCCGCAAACATGGGATCCATTAACTTAGATCTGCATGCTGAATCGCTTTACCACACACTGCCCGAGCTGCGAGATGACCAATGCCTAGATTGATTGACTCAGCCCTTTGTTCCTTAGGTCTGCGGCAGTCGTACTCAACTCCCCCATTTTAAGGAACTCCTTTCAAGA